GGGGACGCGAACCGCGGTCGACTACATGGGAGTCCAGCACATAGCCATTACGCTAACTGCTGGTCCCCCAATAATACATTTTTAAAAACTTGCATTTGAGAACTAGATAGAGGGGGAACCAGCAGTTAGCGTAATGGCTATGTCGCTGGACTCCCACGTAGTCGACCGCGGTTCGCGTCCCGGACCCGGTGGCTTAAACTCACGCCGGGCGCGTGTGCGTGCGTGCCCAAGATCCCGAGAGGAGAATGGAGGAGAAGGGATTGTGGCGTGGCCATCCCCCCTGGGGGGGTGATTTCTCACTTTCTATCTCTCTGTCTCTGTCTGGCGAGCGCACGCACCCTATAGTGAAAAATCTCCCCCCCCCAAAAAAAAAGAGAACTAGTTAGAGGGTCTTTCATTAGCATAATTTATTAATTTATAGAGTAAGTCATATTATTTTATTGCTTCTATCTAGTTTTCATGCATTCATTCAGTAAAATTTAAGTAATCTAGGAAGAATTACTATGCTGGATTTTGGGTGTGCAGTAGTGAGCCTCCCTTATTTCACATTTGAAGGTAATTTGGAAGGCCTCTATTGCTTACTACTGTACCACCAACACCACTAGGAAGGTAATTTGGAAGAAGAGCAAAAGAAAGTAAATTTAGACCTTTTACCAAAGAGATTAGAATGTATAAGAGTAAGCAGAAATGTATAAGGTGACTATCTGATTTTAAAATAGTGTTAAGTACTATATAGCTGTATGCAATGTAGAGGGTTTCTGAAGGGAACTGAATAAGTTCCTTAAGAGCTGGTTTAAGGAGCCTTAAGGGAAGAATGGCTTGATAAGGAAAGAAAGAGAAAGGAATAAAGAATTCATTCATTTACAAGAAAAAAAATGGAGAAAAAGGAAACACACATGCCCTGCATGGCTCTCAAGCCCTCAGATCTGGGACTCGAACTGCACTTGGCTATGTGGGAGTCCAGTGACTTAACCACTGTGCAACCTGCTGGCCCCAAATTGTGGAGTGTTTTTAAGCCACTGGTTCCAGTTCTTATTCTGCACAGTCAGCCATCTGCTATTCAGCTGCCTTAACCACGTCAATGGTTGGCCTGTATTATCTTTTCTTAATTCCATATGATTGAGATTTTCAGAATTCAATGTATGTCTCTACTCATTGCGAATCTTTAGTTTAAAATAGGTCTTTAGACTTCTAGAATTGTAATAGTTTTTTGTATGTGAGAACTTATTTTCTGGGCCAGCCTGTGGCATGGTGATTAAGGCAGCTGGATCCCATATGGCCAACTGCATTGTTCTAGTCCTGGACTCAATGGCTTGAAAAATGTGTTGGGTACATGTGCATGCGTACTCAAAATGCTAAAAGAAAAGGAATAGAAGGGATTTTAGCATGATCATCTCCCCTGGAAGGTGGTTTCTCACTTTCCCTATCTGTTGCTCTCTGATAAGTGCACACACCCTCTAGCAAATTTTTTACTAATTAAAAAAAAAAAAAACCTTAGGGCCGGCAAGTAGAGTGGTGGTTAAAGGTGCTGGATTCCCACATGGCTGACTGTGGTTCAAGTCCCAGACCAGGAGGCTTGCTCTCTTGCTTTCCGTTTGTCTCTCTCTCTCTCTGTCTGATCAAGTTAAAATAATAATAATAATAATAATAAATGGAATTAAACAAAATAAATAATTTAAAAATAATAATAAATAAATTTAAAAAAAACTTGTTTCTTGATAACAGTAAACAGAGCTGGATATATGTGGACACAGATAATATCTATAGTGGTCATCTTAGAACAGACTGCATTTATTGGTGTTGTAAACTATTAAATTTCTGGTTTTTAGTTAACTAAATTTCAAGCAATATATAATTAGATCATAAATTTATCTAAACTCCTATTATTATAGCATCTCAGATAAACTTTATCTACTCGGGGTTTTGTCAGTCTTAATTATAATAATGAACATAATAATTTTTTTGCAACTGATATCTGCTTCATAGAAGTCTTCCAAAAAACTATTTGTTTTTTTTTGTAATATGATAAACTTATTCTGGCTTTTGATAACATATTCTATCAAATTCATTATTAGTAATTGAACATTGATAGGTAATTTAAAACAGGAGAAACATTTTGAATACTCACTGGAAGGAATGATAGCAAGGATGTTAGTACTGTTTTTTCTTGTATCATCACTTGAACTCTATGGGTTTTTTTCAGCAATTCCATTTTTTTTCTTTTTTAGCTTACACTTTATCATCCATCATAATTCTTAATTTTTATCTCTTAGTACCACAAAAATTCTGGCATTTTTTTTTTCAATTTGCTATAGCATCTGCATGAGAGAGAGAGAAAAAAGGAGGGAGAGAACTAGCAAGCTAGAGAGGGAAAGTGAGAAATCACCTCACAGAGGGGATGGCCATGCCATAATCCCTTCTCCATCCTCCTCTAGGGATTTTGGGCATGAATACACACGTGTACAACATGACTTTCAAGCTGCTGGGTCAGGGACTTGAACTGCTCAGTCAGCCATGTGGGATCCAGCCACCTGAGCCTCTGTACCACCTCCTGGCCCCTGGCTGTGTGTGTGTGTGTGTGTGTGTGTGTGTGTGTGTGTGTGTATGTGTGTGTGTGTGTGTATGTATTTTGTTGTTGTTATTGTTGAGATTTTTGCTATAGGGCATGTGTGCTCCCAGGAGAGAAAAAAAAAAAAAAAAAACAAGAAATCACCCCTACCACCCACCCCCCGGCAGATGGTCATGCCGCAGTCAAAAAAAAAAAAAAAACAAGAAATCACCCCGACCTCTTCTCCATTTGCTTCTCGGGATTTTGGGTACACATGCACGTGTGCCAGGTGTGAGTTTTAAAGTTTTAAGCCACCAGATCCATTATGCCATCTGCTGGTCATCTTCTGCCCCCACAGTAGTTTTATAGAAATGGTAATTTGGAGATAATAAAGGGAAAATAAGTGGTTACAAAATAAGACTATGACTTATTGAAACATAACTTTTTATTCTTGAGCTTGGTCTTGTGTTGGGATTTTAAAAAAAAAGGCCATGGTGGTATCAATGTAATGAAAATGCAACCATAAAGCTTTCTTGGGTTAGTTTAAAAAGCAAATATAAAAAAGAATTACATGTAGTCTACTGATGCTGTTTCCTTCTTTAGTCAGAGGTTGTAGAGATTTTCTGTCCTTCCTTTATGTTCACAAAAGTTATTCATAATTTCTCTGAAAACTAGTAAATTAGTACTCTTTAATTGGAATCCCTTTGTATCCTCATCCTTTTTTTTTTTCGCTTTCACCGTTGACTTCCAAACAAATCCATAGAATTTTCACAGAATACATTATTTTATCTCAAGCTTTGATCTCATATTGGACTCATACTTTTCAAAATTCCTTGAGATATGTTCTTTATTCTTCTTGGTATCTTGGACTTCAACACTACATTGATTTTGTCTGCCCCGTTGTTTGTATATAGGCCATTCATACCAACCATTTTGTTCTCAGTGATTTTGCTTACACCTTTCATAAAGCTCATCTGCAATATCTCACCTGGGACATTTCAAATGATAGTTCGTTAATTCTTGTTTGGAACGCCCAAGTTTACTCATGGGAAGTAGTATTTTTATGAAGTTGTGGTTAGGTTCTTAAAATACATGAAAACCTGGGGCCAGCAGGTGGTGTGGTGGTTAAGGCACTGGACTCCCACATGGCTGACTGTCGTTCTAGTCCCAGACCTGGTTACTTGCTTTTTCTTTCTCTCTGTCTCTCCCTGGTGAATGCATGTGTCCTATAGCAAATTTTAAAATAACAACAACAATAATAAGATTAAATAATTTTTTTTCGGAGAGGTTTTTGCTATAGGGCACGTGTGCTCGCCAGACAGACAGAGAGACAGAAAGTGAGAAATCACACCCCAGGGGGGTTGACCACGCCACAATCCCTTCTTCTCCATTCTCCTCTCAGGATCTTGGGCACGCACGCACACGTACGTGCCCGGCATGAGTTTAAGCCACCGGGTCCGGGACGCGAACCGCATTCGACTACGTGGGAGTCCAGCCATGGGAGTCCAGCGACTTAGCCATTACGCTAACTGCTGGTCCCAAAACTTACTCTTTTTTTTTTTTTGAGAATTATTTTAAAAAAATACATGAAAAACAGTTTTAACCCAAAATATGGCTGAATTATTCTACTTACCCAAAATAAAACAGTAGAACCCATCAGAAACCAGTAAAATGCATCACAGTTTATTTTTAGTGCTGATCTTAAGAGAAAAATAAGTAATTATTAAATAAAATAGACAATAAATATTCTGAAAAAGAGTCTCAGATACATTTAAGAACTTAGAAATTTTCTTTGTTTGAAGGTATCTCTAACAGTCTTTTTCGTCTGACTGGACTCAATTTCAGACCTACAAATAGAGAGAGAGAGAGAGAGAGAGAGGATTGAGCAAGAAAGAATATATTAAGTATAATTAATATGTTAGCAATATATAGACTGTTCTGTAAATAATGATTGTATCTTTATCTGTATGCCATGAGGTAATGAGGTATTTTGGATAAATTATGGAAAAAAGTTAAGTGCATGGCATTAATATAATTGACTACAAATATATATATGACTGTTTTTATATATATGACTGTTATGACTATACTGCGTCAGTAGCTTTCTGAAGTTTTTATCAATTACTACTATTAAAATCATTTTAAATTCATTATAACCATATGTATTTAAGGTTTTAATGGCAATGGGAAACTTCACTTTAATGATGTTTGGTGTTTATTTTTTTCCTCAGAGTCAGCTTAGTCAATGTAATAATGCCCTGGAGAACTCTGAAGAACTACTAGAATTTGCAACAAGGTCATTAGATATAAAGGAACCTGAAGAATTTTCAAAGGTACCAAAAAAAAAAAAAAAAAAAAAAAAAAGAAACAAAAAAACACTACTATACTTAGAAAAAAAAAAAGTAATGTTAATAAAAAAAAGTGTTAACCCCTTTAATTTTGGATTCATTTGGTCTTTTCTTATACTAAAAAAAGGCTTAGGATTTTTTGATAAGTAAAATGTTAGCTATTCATTTATTCCAGAGCAGATATGTAGAAGTATGCATCTTGGGGGTCATGAACTAATTATTTCAGTTGAAATTTGTTTTAGTATTAAATTGAGATGAGTCATTCTTTTTTTTCCAGTTGCATCACTGTTTATGATTTGTTCCAAAGGCACTTGTGTACTTGAACTGAGTCCTGCATTTGTTATAAACATTTCATGACTAAGGAAAGACAATTGCTATTGCTATTAACATATTTTGAAACTAGTTTTGTATTCCTTTCTATGAGCTGATTGGGAAAACATTATCACTTGATGCATTTGAGCACTGTAACCTTGAGAAATGTATTACTAGATACAAGTGTCTCACTGCTGAGCTTAAGTAATTGAATGTTTTATTAAATGTGATAATATAGGTTTATTTAAAGGATACGTTTGGTATAAAAGTATAAAGAATAGAGAACTTGCTAATGTTTTAACTTAAATAGTGGGATTGTAAATTGTATATTTTAACTCTTTAAATGGGATGTTTTTTTCTTTTTAAAAAAATAATTACTTATTTAATTTTATTTATTCATCTATTTATTTTAATTTGACCAGAGAGAGAAACAGAGAGAGAAAGTGAGAAAGCAAGCTACCAGGTCTGGGATTCGAACTATGGTTGGCCGTGTGGGAGTATCCAGCACCTTAACGACCACACCACCTGCTGGTCCCTTAAGTGGGTTGTTTTAAAAATGATTTTCAGTTTATCAAAACTCGGGGATGTAGAATATATTAAAATGGTATGAAAATGGTAAAAAATAAAACTACATAATTAGCAAAATATTACTATGTAGTTATCAAGATGAGTTTGATGTTATTTATATTATCTTTGTGGACTATGTTGTGAGCTCCATTGGAGTTAGTAAAGTGGTTTTGTAAGCCATTTGTGTCCAGTTACTGTTTTCATTTTATGATTTTTCTGTGAACTTAAAGATAGAAAAAAACTTCCTTGAGAAGATAACATTCTCCAGCTTACATCTTTGTATTTTAAAATTAAACCTTATTAATTCTTTTCCATTGTGCTACGATGGAAGGAATTCCTTCTTCTAGCAAAATAAAGCAAAAGTTATTTTTCTGTAAACCAGCAGATGAATTAATTCTTTTTTAAAAAAAGAATTATTTATTTATTTAATTCCATTTGTTATTACTACTTTTTAATTTGACCAGAAAGAGAGAGAGCAAGGGAAAGCGAGAAAGCAAGCTCCCATGTCTCGAACCGTAGTTGACCATCTGAGAATTCAGTGCTTTTAACCACCATGCTACCTGCAAGCCCCTGAGTTAATTCTTAAGATTGGATATGGGTTGTAAATAAGTTTACTTTTGCATTTGATAGGAGTTGTTACACAGAGGAATTATGAGAGGAAATGTATTATATTTTGAAGTACTTTAAAAATATGTCCCTTGTCTGGAACGCACTCATGCTCCAATAACTAGAATGTAGCCAAGAAACATACAGAAAGCCAAAGATATCTGAGTCATGAAAGTTAAGTGTCCTGGGGCCAGCAGGTGGCATGGTGGTTAAGGGCGCTAGATTCCCACATGACTGACCATAGTTCAAGTCCTGGACCTGGCAGCTTGCCTTCTCATTCTCTTTCTCTCTTTCATCAAATTTAAATAAAGTTAGATAAAATCTTTAAAAAAAAAAAAAGAGAGAGAGAGATAGAAAGTGTCATGGAGTTTGTAGACAAGAGTTGATATCTTTTGTTCATGATCGTTTCTTCAGAATTTGTTGACTATTCATTTGTATGTGGTCCTACTTAACTTTCAGGTTTTTTCCCTTGTGTTCCCTCATTATTACCACATTCCCTTTCTAGTGGAATAGGACAGCTATTAATGAAGGCACAGTCAGCAGCAAGAATAAATGAATTGCAAAAGTAAGAAAGAACACAGAAAAACTATAAAATATGGATATATGGACTCAAAAGTAATAAATCCAGTTACATTTAAATAGGGGATGATGCCTGGAAAAACAGATAAAAGCTCATTTTTTTGAAGTGTCTCTTTCTATTGGCATTTTCAGAGTTCTCCCCATCCTCTATAAATGCCATCCTTTTCTCTTTTGCTTTCCTTTCTCTTTCCAACATTGTTTTTGTTAAAATTTGTTAGCTATTTATAAATTAGAAAGCTGATGATAAAGTCAGTCACATTGTGACTTACATGTATTTTCCTAATATGCCACTTTGCTACTGCTTCTGTCTTACTATTTCAGTCTTGTCTTCCAGCACTTCGTAGTGCTACACAGTGAGTTAAGCTGTTTGGACATGTGGTGAAATTAATTATATGCCAGTGTTTCCTAGCCAGAAATCTGAGTTTATTTTTCAAGAAAAATGTTTAGCTGAGAGCTATTTGCAGTATCTTCTTTGTATGTCCAAATAGTATCCAAGTAATGACTTGATTTCAAATCAGAAACCAATTTTACTTTTTTTTTTGGAAAGGCCTTCGCTATAGGGCGCGTGCGCTCACCAGAAAGACAGAGGGAGACAGAGAGATAGAAACCGAGATCAGAGAGAGATAAAGTGAGAAAGCAAGTCACCAGGTCTGGGACTTGAACTGTGGTCAGTCATGTGGGAATCCAGTGCCCTTAACCACTGTGGCACCTGCTGGCCCCTCCAATTTAAGATATTTGAAAATTGAATCATGACGGTCAGTTCAAGAGACCTGAATGGTGTTTATATTTTTAGGTTATGTAAAGGTTATGAGCATTCTTCTAACCAAGTTCAGAACCAATTAGGAAATGTGATAAAACAGTAAAACTGATAAGAACCACATATGGGTAAAATAACATTGAAGAATATGACTTGTATCAGTGAGCAAGCTTTCTAATACTAAATCCCAGAATGGGTAGACAGACTTAACCCATTCATGTATATCGTATATAAACATAATGGGACAGTAGTTTCTATTTGTTTTTCTGTCATTGTACAGAACCAAGTAATAATAGCATCCTCTTTTTAAACTTTTACTTGCATTTCCAAAAAAAAAAAAAAAGAAAGACAGATTTTGTATATAGTAGGTTTCAGTTAGCAGCTCCTATGAAATCAACTGAGGGAAAGACCCTATCACTAGAAGTATTTCTCTGGTCTCTTCTTGTTTGAATTTCTGCCATTACAACTTCATTCTTTGAAGTAAGGGAGTGTAGAAGTACAACTTATTTTTATATAGTAGGCATATATTAATAGGCAAGCTCTGAATGCAAGTCCTTGCTCAATGAAGGCATATAGAGAAAATAGTAGACACTGTTATAATGTAGTGAAAGGTATGCCTGAAGAAAAACTAGAGAGCAAATTCAAAATGTACAAGAAAACCATCAGAATATATAGAAATGTGTGTTGCATGAAGGAGGCTGATTGTTCTAGTTAAAGAATGTCAGGCTGCATGAAAGTAGAGATTGTGTTTTGATAATCTTAAGGTAAGACAAAATAGAGTTATCGGGAATTAGTTTAAAGTGTTAAATTTTCCTCCTTTTAAGGTGATTTATATGGGGTCTGGATTTTCTACTATAGTTCTAACATATTAAGTGAGCTTATGTGAATCATATAGATGTCCTCCAATGTGTATATTGGTGAATATGCACTAATCTATTACAGGGTTTATATCCTAACTTTTCTTGCATGTCACTGCCATTGAAACTTGCATGAAAAGCACTAACTGCCTTCTTTCTCTTCTCCCTGATTTGCTCCAAGGCTGCCAGACAGATCAAGGATAGGTATGGTATAAAACCTACATTTTTACTTAAGTATTGATATTGAAGTCAGAAATGAAATTCAGAAACAACTTTTATCTTAGAATTCTGTTGGTTAAAATAAAAATACTCAGTGGCTCAATACGAAATAAAGAAAATGTCCTCTGCATATCTATTTCAAATAACCAATATATAAGTGTGATTTTTCAAAAAACATATTGTGGACAATTTGCTTTCAAAAGAATTTCATTTCTGCCATAATGATATAGTTAGTTTTAGTTTAGAAAAAGTCTTAATTAGTTATACTAATGGAGAGGGAACTATTTTGAATAATTAATATATATATGTGTTTCTGGAATGAGTTTTTTTGTCATTCTTAAATATAGATGGGTCTTATTTTCTGAGAAATCTCAGTCTTAAAGACTGTTTAAAATAATCCTCAAGGGCTAAAGTTCTCCTATTTCACTGCCCTCCTGTTTAACACCTTTGTATTCTCATTCCATCCTGTTCCTGGTGCCATCTCTATTTCTAATGCCACTGCTATCTAGTTTATATTTTATAGAAACAGAAAGTTAAAGAAAACAGTTAAAAGTGTCGACTTTCTCAGTGATAGATTCAGGATTAAGAAAGGGAATTTAGTTCTTGCTGTAGTGAATATGTAGTGGAGTTCTAAAGGAGCTGCTAGCAGTATGTGGATTGTGTTAACACAGAAGGAATGGGCTTGGTCTGCCCATCTAGTCACCAAGCATTGACTGTAGTAACATTGTCTCTTAAGGTTTTTTCATCTGAGGCTTATGAGATTCTCTGAAAGGTACAACTTTTCAGAGTACTACTCAAGTAGGGCTCAAGATTAAATGATCCCATGTCAGATAATTCACAAAAATATTCATTTTGGATTGTGTGAAAATTAGAATGTCCATTGTTAATCTTGGTTGAAAAAATCCATTTCTCTTGTAGTCTTTTGTTTGACTAGAGCAAGATTCCCATGGTGGTCATAGTTTTCTTAGGACGGATACTAATTTTTAAATTTTTTGCACATTTATGTCCGAAATTGATTAAAGATGTGGATCATTCTCAGAAATCCTGGCTGTAGGAAAGATTATAAGAATTTGAAGGTGAAACATAATAGAGGAATAGATGCTCACATCGTTTTTGGGATAGATGGATTTGGGTTGTGTATTTGCTTTGAGTAATCCACCTTGCACTCTGGCTTCCTGTTTAGCTACCTGTTCCACTCTATCTCTTTCTGGTTACTGGATTAGAAATCACTTGCTAATCAGCTAAAGACTATGCAAAGACCTTGTGAGATAATCTTGCAAAATCTTCTCTCCTTCCTCTCAAGAGCCTGTAATATGGCTCTGTGTTTCACAGAATCCTACCCTCACTCCTGATCTCTTTCTCTTTGTCCAGATTGTCAGAAATTGTTTTAAAGGTTTTTGTCATAGGGCAGGTATACTCACCAGAGAGAGAAAATGAGAAGGAAAGTGAGAACTCCCCCCCCCCCCCCCAAAAGGGTGGCCGTGCCATAATCCCTTTTTCTCCATTTTCGTAGGATTTGGGGCATGCACACACATGCACTCAGTCCAGGACTTGAACCTCTTAAACTGCTGGCCCTGGCCAGAAATTAATTTTATGAACAACTTTCGTAGATACATTGTTCACTGAAGCTTGACTTCTTTGTCCTTCTCTCTTCAGTGAGCATCTTGGCTTGATTTTATCAGTATCCAGGTGAAAATGAGAGTCAAAGTTCCTTATTTTTACTAGGGCAAACTTCATTTTGTTTTGTTTTTAGCCTACTTTTATATATATATATATTTACAATATTTTTACTTTCTGCCTGAGGAACATTTCTGGGTCTCCGCTCAATTTCTTAAACTTGATTTTTAATTTCATCATGTCCTTATTCTAGTTTTTAGGTGCTCCCTCATGAAATGAGCTTCTAGAATTCCATCATTTCTGTTATATAATATGAAAGTAATTTAAACATATAGTCATAATAAAATAATTATTTTCATCAGGCAAAGAAAAGAATATTGTATAAGGTCAGAGATGTGTTCTGAGAGGGTGTATATAACATATGATCTGTGAAAATTCAACATTTATCATTTGCTGTGATAGAAGCTATGCAGAGGAGCAACAGGAGATGAGAAGATTTAAAAAATAGTATATCTTGGGACCAGCAGTAGGAGTAATGGCTATGTCGCTGGACTCCCATGTAGTCAACTGCGGTTTGAGGCCTGGACCTGGTGGCTTAAACTCACACCAGGCGTGTGTGTATGCATGCCCAAGAACCCGAGAAGAGAAAGGAGGAGAAGGGATTGCGGCATGGCCATCCCCGCCGGGGGGTGATTTCTCGCTTTCTGTCTCTCTCTGTCTTTCTGCTGAGCACACTTGCTGTATACAAAAACCTCTTCAAAAAAAAAAAAAGTATATCTCTAGAACTTTGAAAATCACTGGTGGATACTTTGGGGTACTCAGTAATGTTGGAAGATGATTAGTTAAGGTATATTGTGGGAGGTTTTAGTTCTTGATAGAGGTCATGAAAAGGAGACTCAAATTAGTTAGGTAGTTTAAGGAAATTAAAAGTTTCCGTATGTTTTGTAGTTATTTTTGCTTTGCAAAATAAATCTAGGACGAAGGGATTCTTGAATTCAGCTTTTACTGTTAGAAAACCAAGAAAGTCAAAGAGAATTAAGCCATATCTAACCACATGGATCCTGTAGTATAGACTTTTATTTATGAATTTTAAATTTTTAGCTATGGCATTGAGTCACAGTTGTCTAAATATGTTCGTTTAAAATAAAAGTTTAGGGGGCCAGTAGGTCGTGTGGTGGTTAAGGTGCTGAACTCTCTCATGGCCCACTGTGGTTTTACTCCCAGACCCTGCAGCTCAGAAATCATGCTGAGCGCATGTATGCGTCCAAATTCCTGAGAGGAGACTGGAGGAATAGGGATTTTAGTGTGACCATCCTCCCTGGGGGAGATGACTTCTCACTTTGCTTCTCTGTATCTATCTCTGTCTCTTCCAGTGAGTGTGTGCAAAGTATAGCAAAAACCTAAACAAAATAAATAAAAAATAAACTTAAGCTTAGTCTTTTTAAAGATTTTATATAACATTTTAAGTTTAGGTCTAGAGAATATGAGTTATTCTTATTTTCTTTTTTAAAAATTATTTATATAATTTTATTTATTCATTCATCTATTTTAATTTGACCAGAGAGAGATAGAAAGAAAGAAAAAAGCAAAAGAGAAAGTGAGAAAGCAAGCTATAAGGTTCGAGACTCGAACTGGGGTTGGCCATGTGGGAATGTCCAATGCCTTAACCACCATGCCATCTGCTGGTCCCAATTTATTCTTATTTTCTAAACTTTTTTATTTTTATTTTTGGAGAGGTTTTTGCTATAGGGCACGTGCGCTCACCAGAAAGATAGAGACAGAGAGACAGAAAGCGAGAAATCACCCCTCAGGGGGGATGGCCACACTGCAATCCCTTCTCCTCCATTCTCCTCTTGGGATCTTGGGCACGCACGCACACATGCCCGGCATGAGTTTAAGCCACCAGGTCTGGAACTTGAACTGCAGTCAACTCCATGGGAGTCTAGCGACATAGCCATTACGTTAACTGCTGGTCCCCTAAGCTTTGAATAAGAAAGCTTTCTGATGTATTTTGGGAGGACATTCATTTTCTTTGAGGCCATGATTTTTTAATCAAGTTTTACACATTTTTATGAGTTTCGTACTTAAAATTCTCTAAAATACTTCCATGTTGTTTTTCCTCAACATTTCTCTGTAAATATTTAAATAGTGTGGTTTAGAATAAACCAGACAGATTGAGGCCCATTCACTGATAGAGTGAACATTTAAGTGCCTAATCTAAATATAATCTTTCAGAAATCTTTAAATAAAGCTACTGTTAAGAAAAACATATGTAATATTTGGCTTTTATTTCTAATTTCTTATTGGTATAACTCGAAATTTTGTGATTTGAGTATCAATAGCTTAATATAATACGTGTGAAATAGTGTTACACTTGGCACATAGGAAGTATTCAGTGCATTCCCTTGCCCATATATTGTGTTGGGTTGTCAGAAAAGTCACAATCCCTTCTCCTCCATTCTCCTTTCAGGATATTGGGCACACATGCACACATGTTCAGCATGAGTTTAAGCTGCCAGGTCCTGGACTCGAACTGTAGTCAACTACATGGGAGTCCAGCAACATAGCCATTATGCCAACTGCTGGTCCCGATGTTATGTTTTTGCATCATGCATCATGACTTTTCCAGTGGCCCAGTACTTCAACATAGGCACTTTTTGATAAATAGACTGTCGTTTACTCATTGTTACTAAAAGATGAAGTAATTATTTTCCTAGTTTTAAAATGAAGTAAGAGAACTGAATACAGTGACAGTTTGACTTTTTTCATCTCAAAAGAAGTGAATACAAGTTTGGGATTTTTTTATCCTATTATCTTTAGGGTGGATTTAACAGATCATATTGACCAGGCCTAGTATTTCTTTTGTTCCTCCATTACTTCCTCTCCCAAATTGTGAACTAGGAAGACAATATTCAGTACTTGCGTACTATTTTATACTGTATCATTCTTTAACCAAAGATAGTAAAGGGCTTAATTTATGATACTCATAGAAATTTACTGTAATATGAAAAGTAGAAATTTGAGATAAAATTACAAATTGATAGCAAGAGTTTCCTCTTTTTTAAAGAATTATTTTATTTAACTTTATTTATTTATTTATTTTAATTTGACCATAGAGGGACAGAATGAGTGAGAGGTTGGGGGGGGGGGGAGGGGGAGTGAGAAAGCAAGCTGCCAGGTCAGGAACTCGAACCTTGATTGGCCATGTGGGAATCTAGTGCCCTTAACCACCATGCCTACCTGCTGGCCCCAAGAGTTTCTTTTAATTTCTAGTTTAAATTCATAACAATTTCCTCATATGTTTGGTTAAAGTGAGGTCTGATATGGCTTTTTTCTTTTTTTCTCCCTTATTTCACATTCATCTAATAAATTTTTATTGAACTCCTGTTAAATCAGTGGCATATAATTTCACAGGGCTGTTTATTCATAGTGTCCTTCTATGTCTCATGTTGATAGATCAGAGTGACACCTAGTTGAATGGTATTCACTGATTGTGATTTTATTTCTCTGTCATCCATGGCCTATTTAGCAACTACCAAGCTATACAATATTTTGTCAATCTAACTTAGTTGAGAGTACAAGAGATAGCTATGAATACAAAGGAGAATGTTTGAATCAGGGTGTATTTGGCATATGAAAAGGAGTGAGGCTGGCATCAGGAAGTCAGTGAGATTGAGTGTACAGAGGCTCAGATAAGTGTTGGGCTTGATAAAGATACTGTTACTGGATATTTGCTTTTTGTGATATTTGAATATATATGAAATTTTATAAAAATTAACTAGAGGAAACTCATTAAAAGTATCTTAAAAAAGTATCTTAAATAAATTTCTTTAAAAGGTATTTTGCAGTTTTTATTTAGTTAATTTCCAAAGAATAAGAGCAAATTTATATTTGATTTTTTACCCTTAAGTCTCTGAAATCATTAGAATGAAATAATTTCTGTCATTTCATTTTATACATAAAAAACATAATTTGATACTTCACATTCTTTTATTTTAAAAATATGTTTGTTTACTGTAGAGTCACAATGGCTTCAGCCTTTCGCCTTTGTTTGAAACCAAAAGTCAGTGACAACATGACTCATCTGATGGTGGATTTCTCCCAGGAAAGACAGATACTACAAACTTTGAAGTTTTTGCCCGGTAAATACATGTATTGCATATAAAATTTTGTATAAATGTTTTCTCTAAGATTTTTCTGTAATGAACATTGCTATATAAATACTGAAGAAGTATAGTGATTCCCCTCCCCTTCATTCCACTAAGGAATAATTAAATTTGCTAATATTTATTTTCAGTGAATTATTTTACTAGTACTAAAGATTCTTTTTTTTGAGTGAGAGAGATATTTTTGCTGTAGGGTGCATTCACTTGCCTGGAGAGACAGAGAGACAGAAAGTAAGAAATCACTCCCCCCTCCCCCCAGGCTAGATGGCCGTACTGCAGTCCCTTCTCCTCCATTCTCCTCTTGGGATTTTGGGCACTTACGCATATGTGCCCGGCCCGAGTTTAAGCTGCTGGGTTCAGGACTCAAATTGCAGTTGACTGTGTAGGAGTCCAGCGATGTAACCATTATGCCATCTGCTGGTCCCTTAAAAATTACATTTTAAGAATCCCATTAAGGAGGGACCAGCAGTTAGCGTAATGGCTATGTCACTGGACCCTCATGTAGTCGACTGTGGTTCACGTCCCGGACCCGGTGGCTTAAAACTCACGCTGGGCGTGTGTGTGTGCATGCCCAAGATCCTGAGAGGAGAATGGAGGAGAAAGGATTGCGGCGTGACCATCCCTCCTGGGAGGTGATTTCTTGCTTTCTGTCTCTGTCTGTCTGGCGAGCGCAAGCGCCCTATAGCAAAAAAAAAAAGAAAACCTCTCCAAAAAAAAAAAAAGAATCCCATTAAGGAATATCTTTTATTACTAGCTTGCCAGAGAGAAATACAGTATATAGCATGGTGGTTAACAGTGGGTGTTAAGGTTCAGACTACTTAGATTTGAATCCTGCTGATTACTTGCTGTGTAATCCTCAGTAAATTACTTAACTTGCCTCATTTCCTTAATCTTTAAATGTGTTGTTATTCTATTTTTTTTTCAATTTTTATTTTTAATTGCCTGAGGGTCCATGTGCTCACCAGAGAGGGACAGACAGGGAAAAAGGGATTGTGGCTTGTGGCATGGCCATTCCCCCCTGGGGGGGGTGGTGATTTCTTGCTTTCTGTCTCTCTGTCTCTCTGTCTCTGTCTGTCTTTCTGGCGAGCGCATGTGCCCTAACGCAAAAAACTCTCCAAAAAAAAAGAAATGAAGGAGAGGTAAAGACTTTCTTAGACAAACAAAAGCTGAGGGAGTTTACCATTAGAGCTGCTTTACAACAAATGATAAGGAAGTTCTTCACGTTGAAATAAAAGAACACTGACCAGTAACATGATCATAAGAAATTATAAAACTCATAAGTAAAGGGAAATACATAGAAACAATACTGTATCTTTACAATGGTAGTGAATAAATCACTTAAAAAAAAGTATATGTGCTTGCCACAGAAAGATGGAGAGACGGAGAGTGGCAAAGCATCCCCTTCCCCATGTGGAACGGTCAAACCACAGCTTGCAGATGTGCCTAGCATGTTTTCCAAGCCGCCAGGTGTGGGTCTCAAACTACATGATCAACTCCCTTAACCATAGGGCTAGCCCATATAAATCACTTAATTCAAGTATATAAGTTAAGCCACAGAAGTATTGAAAATAATTATAGCTATGTTATGTATGCAGATACACGGTATAAACAAATGTAAATTGTGATGTTGGTAGTATATAACGAAGGGAAAGGAAAACTAGACACCTATAGTGCTTGTATGCAAATGAAGCTAAGTTATTACAAGTTTAAAATATACTCTTAGAACCGTAAGATAGTGTACGTTAGCCCCAAAGTAACTGCAAAGAAAATATCTATAGACGTTACACAAAGGAAGAAAAGAAAGGCAAGCCCATCAATACCAATAATCATAATAATGGAACACAAAGACAGCAAGGGAGAAAAAGAGGGGCAAAACAACTACAATAGATAACAGTTGACCAAATTGCAATAGTAAATTCCTCCCTATCAAAGATTACTTTTAATAAGGAGATTAAACTGTCTACAAAAGATACAGGGTGTCTGAATGGATTAAAAACAAGGATTCATGGGGGCCAGCAGATGGCATAGTGGTTACATCACTGGACTCCCACGTGGTTGACCTTGTTTTCCTATTAGACTTCGTTGCTTGAAACTCTGGACAGGCACTTCTGCATGCATCCCAAGAACCTGGGAGGAGAAGAAAAGAGATTGAGGGGTGGCCCAAGAGGAGAATGGAGGATAAGGGATTGTGATGTGGCTCTTCTCCCCGGGTGGTGGTGGTGGTCGGGGGCTGATTTCTCACTTTCTGTCTTTCTATATCTGTATTTCTGGTGAGCGCAGCACCCTATAGCAAAAATCTCTCTTAAAAATTTTATTTTTATTTAACTTTATTTATTTATTTGTTTGGTTTAATTTGACCAGAGAGGTTCAGAGTGAGAGTGAAAAGTGTGTGTGTGTGCCCAAAACCTCAAGAGGAGAATGGAAGAGAAGGGATTGTGGCCTGCCCCCCACCTCCTCCCCACCGGGGGTGGGAGGGAGGGAGACTGTGTGTGCTCGGGGCCGAAGACTACCTGGAGAGAAGGGTGTGCAAGTCGGAATTAGGGTGTCTGTTAACAGATCTCAGGGAAGGCAGAGGCCCGCCACTGCAGCTCCCACTGGTGAATGTTTGGCAGCCTGAAGCCTCTACATGGCAGCACCTGTAATCCCGGCCGTTGAGCGAATGGACAAACCCAAGCACAGGCTCTGCATCATCCAGGTTGTAGACAGAGCTGAGGCGGTTCTACAGAGGAGTGCTGCCCTTGACCTTTCTGCCGTAGAGCAAGTGAGGGCCTCCAGGGCCTGCTGGGTGATCAGACCCAACACCTGTGTGGGTTCTTGTCCTACATGCCCGAAGAATTAGAGACGCGGACACAGAAGAGAGGAAAGCAGAGTTTATTAGGGAAGGAGAAAGAGCTTTGAATGTAATGGAAGGGGGCCCAAATGGGTCGCTGAAGAGGGGCTAGAGACAGGGGTTTTTATCTAGCAGTCCAAGAAATGGGCTGGCTTTCTGATTGGGCAGTGGGCTTTAGAAAATGGTTACATGGTAGTCTAAGTGATTTATTACCCTTTTCTTTGTGGGGTCAGCAAACCATAGTGTCCTATACTTCTTTTTAGAATAAAGTTATTAAGTACAAACTGAAAAAAAAAAAGAAAAAAAAGAAGGGATTGTGGCCTGATCATTCCCCTTGGAGGGTGATTTTTCACTTTCTGTCTCTCTATGCCCTATAGCAAAAATCTCTCAAAAAAAAAAAATGATAAAACTTGGGACCAACAGTTAGCATAATGGCTATGTTGCTGAACTCCCATGTAGTCGACTGCAGTTCGAATCCCAGACCCAGTGGCTTAAACTCAAACCGAGCGCATGTGCATGCGTGCCCAAGATCCCAAGAGGAGAATGGAAGAGAAGGGATTGCAGCCTGGCCATCCCCCCTGGGGGGTGATTTTCTCGCTTTCTATCTCTCTGTCTTTCTCCATCTTTCTGGCAAGCGCACGCACCCTATAGCAAAAAAAAAAAGTTGTTAGGGAAAACAATTTAGAGATCCCTGAAATTATTGAAAATAGGATGATATGATGCAAGAACCTCCTCTTTGAGAAAATATCTCAAATAAATCAGTATATTGAAAAGATACCTATACTTTTGTGCTTATTGAAGAGTGAGTCACAAAAACTAAGAGACCGATGAATAAATAAATTGTGGTATACGTTTTGTGTGTATGCGTGCATGTGAGAGAGAGAAATGGAGTATTATTTAGCTGGGCTTTTTTTTAGGATTTCTTTATTTTTAATTTTTAAATTTATTATCATTATTTCTCAATTTTGACCAAAGAGAGACAGACAGACAGAAAGGGAGAGTGAGAAAGCAAGCTGCCAGGTTTGGGACTTGAACCATGGTCGGCCATGTGGGAGTGCAGCACCTCAACCCACCATGCCACCTGCTGGCCCATTATTTAGCTGCTAAAAGGAAGAAGATCCTGCTATTTCCAACAACATGGTTGAACCTTGTGGTTAGTGTGCTAGGTGACATAATCCTGGTGCAGAAAGAAAAATACTGCATGATCTTATTTATATGGGGGATCTATGAAAACCAAACTCATAGCAGCAGAGAGCAGAGGCAGTTATGAGGGGTGACTGTGTTAGGGAAATAGGAAGGCATTGGTCAAAGGTACAAAGTTTCAGTTTTGCAGGAGGAATAAATTCTAGAGATCTAGTATACAGCATGGGAACATAGTTGAACTGTACTACATTGGGTTGTAGAGAAAGTCATGATGCATTTTTGCATAGAAAAATATGTTATGACTTTCCCAAAGACCTAATATATACTTGAAATTTGCTAAGCATAAATCTAAGTGTACTTGGGGGCCAGCAGGTGGTGTGGTAGTTAAAGAAGCTGGACTCCCACATGACTGACTGCCGTTTGAGTTTCAGACTTGGCAACTTGCTTTTTCACTCTTTCTCTCTCTTTCTTTGGTGAAATTGAAAAGAAATAATAATAAAATAAAGAAAAAGAATTCTTTTTAAAATATCTAAATGTACTTGTTGAAAAGAAGAATACAGAAGGAAATTAATGTTAGGAGACAGTTATTTAGTTTGACCATTATAATCAATTTATTGTGTGTGTCAGAACATTGTGATGTGTACCTTAAACATGCACAATTTCAATACAGTTTTTTAATATAAACCTAGTCATGGGATTATAATCTTAAACATTTGAGATTGTTTTTTCCCCTTTTACTTCCAAGTAGAGGAGGTATATGGAGAAAACTTTCAGCTCAATAACATCAGAAAGGCCTTTTTTACAGTCACAACTCCCTAACGATAAAAAAGATTCATTTCAGGAAATGTTGACACCTCCTGTGACTAAAATATCATACATACCTCAAGAAGCTTGGTAACTTGATAGTAAGGCTATAAAGGGAGTTCATTTTCAGGAAGATAAACTTGACCAGTGTTTCTCAAACTTTAAAATGCACACAAATCTAGAATACATTCTGATTGAAGAAGTCTAGTGTGGGACCTGAGATGACCTTTGCAGTGATTAAGGTTGAAAAGCACTGGCTTATTTATAAAAGCTCAGCATTACAACACAAGAAAAGTATCTTATGTAGGATTTATTTTTCCTGTGAAAGGATCCTTTGGGAGTATCTAGTTTATGGTTATAAGTTCTCTTCTTTCTTGTTTTGCAAATTGAAACATCTGCTATCTAAAATTTTTGAAGTTTTTCTTTAGATTGTGTCTCTGGTTTTCTCAGCCAGCCTTGGATCATGGGCAAACCTGTGCCTGACTTGAACCAGGTTATCCACCATCCCTTCTCCCCGCAGGGTGTGTTTTCTCACTATCTCTGTCTCTCAGGTGCAAAAAACTTAAAAACAAGGGATCAGCAGTTGGCGCAATGGCTATGTTGCTGGACTCTCATGTAGCCAACCGCGGTTTGAGCCTTGAACCCAGTGGCTTAAACTCATATCAGGCAAGTGTATGTGAATGCCCACGATCCCAAGAGCAGAATGGAGGAGAAGGGATTGTGGAGTGGCCATCCCCCCCCAGGGGGTAATTTCTTGCTTTCTGTCTCTGTCTCTGTCTTTCTAGCAAGCGCACATGCTCTCTAGCAAAAATCTCTCCAAAAAGAAAAGATAAGAGAAGAAAAGAAATAAAATATAAAATAAAATAACAAAAAACAAATTGTGTTTTTGGGCAACTGAGGAATTTATTTTTCTTTGTGCTGAGAAATTATAATTCTTATATAAAATAGTTTATTTTTGTGTACTGATTTGATTTATATTCTACAGCTCTTTGAAATGACATTAAAAGTATGTGTTCAGAAGTAACAAGTCATTCTTGATTCTTTGTACTCAGCATGGTTTTTTTGTTGTTTTATTTTTTATTTTTAAAAAATTTTTGGAGAGTTTTTTTTTTTTTTTGGTTATAGGGTGTGTGCACTCGTCAGAAAGACAGAGACAGAGAGACAGGAAGCGAGAAATCACGCCCCAGGGGGGATGGCCACACCGCAATCCCTTCTCCTCCATTCTTCTCTCGGGATCTTGGGCATGCACGCACATGCACCCGGCATGAGTTTAAGCCACCAGGTCCAGGACTCGAACCACGGTCGACTACATGGGAGTCCAGCGACATAGCCATTATGCTAACTGCTGGTCCCTGTACTCAGCATGTTTGAATTTGCTTTTTGTCATCTAAGATTTTAAAAAACATTGAATAAGTTTTTGGAAAAAACTTTGAAACATAGATTTTCTTTAGGCTAGCAATAAAAGGCACTTTGAAAAATAGTTATTTTGCATTTATAGGGTACCTTTTCTCTTAACCTGATTTGCTTTTGAATAATTTTAACAGCAGGATGAAAAAGCATAGTTTGAATGACAAGTGTTTGACTAATGCTATAATGTACCAGAAATGAGACTTCTGTTTTTTTTTTTTCTTCTTCTTCTTTATAGTCCCCAAAGCTCCAGAGATAGATCCTGTAGAGTGTTTGGTGGCTGACAACTCTGTAACAGTAGCTTGGAGAATGCCAGAAGAGGATAATAAGATTGATCATTTTATACTAGAATATAGGAAAACCAATTTTGATGGACTTCCACGTGTAAAGGATGAGCGATGCTGGGAGATAATTGATAATATTAAGGGTACTGAACATACGTTGTCAGGTAATATGACATTTCAGTAATGTTCATTCTCAGAAAATAAATGTACTTGTGAAAAATATTTGGAGTTACTTCAAAGGTTGAAATTATTAAGTTTCTTTGGCTGATAAGACTTTTTATATATTCATTACAGAAGTAAATTTCTCATGCCAGCCAGGTGATATGGTGGTTAAGGAGGCTGAATCCCATGTGGCCGAATGAGCACTTCGAGTCCCAGACCAGCAGCTTGAAAAACATGCTGGCTGTGTCTGCATGTGTGCTCAAAATCCTGAGAGGAGAGTAGAGGGGAAGGGTCTGTGGCATGGTCATCCCCCTTGGGGGTTACTTTCTCACTTTTCTCTCTGTCTTTAGCGAATGCATGCGCCCTCTGCATGGCAAATTTAAAAAAATAAATAAAAATAAAGTGATGTTCTCTTTTTTTTTTTTTTTTGGAGAGATTTTTGCTATAGGGCGCATGCACTCGCCAGACAGACAGAGACATAGAGACAGAAAGCGAGAAATCACCCCCCAGGGGGGATGGTCACACTGCAATCCCTTCTCCTCCATTCTCCTCTCAGGATCCTGGGCACACACACACACACGTGCCCGGCGTGAGTTTTAAGCCACCGGGTCTGAGATGCGAACTGCGGTCGACTACGTGGGAGTCCAGCGACATAGCCATTACGCTAACTGCTGGTTCCCAAATGACGTTCTCTTTAAAACACCAAGAAAACTTCCCTTGTTTTAATTAATTCTGGACATTGCAGCCTGTTAAAGCAGAATATATGTAAAACAAATGCAGAGGGTTGTTCTGGAAATAATAGTTCAGACTAACATTTAATTTTTACCTTAGTTTTCTGGCTGAATAAAAAGCTATTCATTTTTTGATTATACCCAGTACCCTACATTTCACTGATACCGTGAATACTGTTGTTTTTACTATTTTGGAATTACCTTCAAGTTTAATACTTGAAATTGAGCTGTGAGTTGGTACTAGAAATTGTGTGTTGGGCTTTTGAAAGACGTTAAAAAAGGTTTTACTATATAGTTGACCCTTGAAAAATACAGGGTTAAGGGCACCCTTCAGTCCCTCCACACCGTTGAAAAACCCATTCATAACTTTTGACTCTCGAAAAACTACTGATAGCCTACCTTTGACTAGAAGCCTTACTGATAATATAAACTATCCAGCAACATATACACTGTATGTTACAGGTATTATGTACAGTATTCTTAAAATAAACTAGAGAAAAGAAAATGTTATCAAGAAAGTCAAAAGGTGGGCTGACAAGTTGCATGGTGCTTAAGGTGCTGGACTCCCACATAGCTGACTGGTTCAAATCCTGGACCTGGAAGCTTGCTTTCTCACTTTACCCCTCTCTTTATCTTTCTCTGGTCAAATTAAAAATGATAATTATGATTATAAATAATATTAAATAAATCTTTTAAAAAAGAAAATCACAATGCCCAACTTGTTGCTATAGTCAGTAGCAAACTGAATTGCAGTGATTGAAGCTGTGTGAGTGACCTCAGGTTCTGATCCCAAGGTTGACCTAAAAACACACAGGGCACATGCATGTGCCTAAGATCCTTACTAGCTGGAGGTCCAAGGAAAGGGGATTACAGTATGACGAGATCCTGCTGAGGGAATTTCTCTCTCTTGCTTGCTCTCTATCATGAATAAAATAAATTTAAGAAAAAATAGTCATAAGAAAGTAGCCCAGCTGTGTGGCACAGGTGGTAGGGCACTCCTGTGTGATATTGGAGCCACATGGGAGGCCTGGGTTTGAGTCCTGCATCCTTCTGAACATGCTGGCCATGTCTGCATGCGCCCATGATCCTTCCTGACTAGGAGGCTGGCAGGAAAGATTGTCTATAACAAGGCCCTGTCAAGGATATTGATCTCTGTGTGTATCTCTCTTGACTGAGAGAAAGAAATACAACTTTTTTTTTTCCAGTTTTTTTGCCATAAGGCGTGTACACTTGAGAGAGACAGAAAGAGGGAGAGTGAGAAATCACCTTCCCTCCCCAGGAAGATGTCCACACTGCAGTCCCTTCTCTTCCATTTTCCTCTTGGGATTGTGGGCATGCACATGTGCTTTGTTTGATTTTTAAGCCTCCAGGTCCAGGACTCAAATCATTGATGGCCACGTGGGAATCCAGTACCTTAACCATCACACAACCTGCTGGCCCTGAAATAAAATTTTTTAAATGATTTATTTTATTTTATTTATTATTATTATTTAATTTGGCACAGGGCACATGTGTTCACTAGAGAGAATGGGAGAAAGAGATAGAGGGAAAATGAGAATGCAAGCCCTCCGAGTCCAGGATTTGAACTGTAGTCAGCCGTGTGGGAGTCTAGCACCTTAACCACAATGCCACCACCTGCCAGCCCCAACCCCAGTGTGATTTTCAAGCCACCGGATCTGGGACTTAGACCATGGTTGACCATATAGAAGTCCAGCACCTTAACCACTATGCCCCTGCTGGCCCTAAAACTTATTTTTAAAGTTAGAAAAATTATTACTAAGAGAAAATATGTTTACAGTAGCATACTTATTTTCAATGTATTTATGGGAAAAAGCTGTGAATAAGTAAACCCATAAAATAGATCTGTGTTGTTCAAGGGTCAGATGTTTAGGGAACTTCAGATATTTAAAATAGCCAGATATTGTTTGGGTTGTTCAATGCTTGTTATGCATGAGTGGTAACATAGGGAGCTATTATCATTTAGTAGTTTGCTAGGAGCCGAGATGTTTATTACATATAATACATGTTATTTAATAAGTACAGTAATCTTCCTTAACCATTACAAGAGTTCTGAAATAATTTTTTTTTATAAGTTTTTGCCCTAGGGCATATGCACTTGCCAGAAAGTGACAGTGAGTGGGAACCTGAGAAGTCATCCCTGAGATGGATGGCCACACTACAATCCCTTCTCCATTTTCCCCCTGGGATTTTGGGCATACATGCACATGCACCTGGCATGATTTTCAAGCCGCTGGGTTTGGGACTTGACCCATGATCAGCCACGTGGAAGTCCAGTTCCTTAACTGCCATGCTATTTGCCAGCCCTGAATCTTTTACTTTTTATGTCTAAAAGCCATTTTTATTTTTTCAGGCTTAAAATTTGACTCAAAATATATGAATTTCAGAGTAAGAGCTTGTAACAAGGCTGTGGCTGGAGAGTATTCTGATCCAGTGACTCTGGAGACCAAAGGTAAGATCAGTAGCTGTTTACAGAACTTAATGCCAGAAGTTATTGAAGACTTTGGGACAGGAGGCATATGTGTGGTTGAATTTTTTTTTCCCCAACTACCTTTCTTTTCCCACCTGTGACTTTCCCAACAAACAGGAGTTATAAGACATGGAAAGTAGGGCTACAGTACTGGTTTTCATTAGTTTTTTTCTTTATGGTTATATTCATATGGATAAAATAAACTGAGATAATATTTTTATGGGTGCTTTGGTTTTTGGTTTATAAATTTTCATTTAGTATAAATATATAAACATTGCTGAGATTTGCCCAGAATTTTTCCAGAAAATGGATTATAATTCAGTAATGTAATAATACTTATTCAAGTTGGTTCAAATCTCCTCAGATTTTCTGAATCTAACTGCAGTAGATAACATTTATAGAGCTTGTTAATGTTTACAAAGTGGTCTCATTATTCTTTATTTGATCATAAAAATCATCTTGAGAGATCAGTAGAATAGTTACTGATACCTATATTGCAGATGAAGAAAGTGAAGTTCAGTGTGTTAAATGACTTGCCCATGATCTCTAGATCGGCTTGGAAAGATGTGAGCTGGAATCTGTTTCTAAGTTCTGTGCCAGTCTTTCTTGTGGCTCTGAAACCTAGGTTCTAGTCTTCAACAACAATTTAGATTTAGTTAAAACTCTTGAGAATATTATTGAACATATAAGTTTTTTTTTTGTTTTTTTGTTTTTGTTTTTGTTTTTGTTTTTTTACATATTTGGCCAGTTTGAAGGCCAGAATGCTAGAGATCTCTTCCTAGTTGTGAAATGATAATTAACTGAGTTTACTTCAGAATCTGACTCTGTGTATTGTTGTAGGTGCCTGGGACATAGGACTTTCCACTGACCTTCAGTTTACACAGTAGTTGAACAGGGTTACATGGATGGGGGCCAGCCGCTGGGCCCCCTCTGGGCACCCTCCGTCCTCACCTACCCCTGCCCACTCGGCCCGCAGCTGTCCCTGCACACATGGCCATGATTGCTGGGAGAGTGTACACCGCCCTGGTTTTTCCCGTTTTTTTGCCATAAGGCGTGTACACTTGCCAGAGAGACAGAAAGAGGGAGAGTGAGAAATCACCTTCCCTCCCCAGGAAGATGTCCACACTGCAGTCCCTTCTCTTCCATTTTCCTCTTGGGATTGTGGGCATGCACATGTGCTTTGTTTGATTTTTAAGCCTCCAGGTCCAGGACTCAAATCATTGATGGCCACGTGGGAATCCAGTACCTTAACCATCACACAACCTGCTGGCCCTGAAATAAAATTTTTTAAATGATTTATTTTATTTTATTTATTATTATTATTTAATTTGGCACAGGTCACATGTGTTCACTAGAGAGAAGGGGAGAAAGAGATAGAGGGAAAATGAGAATGCAAGCCCTCCGAGTCCAGGATTTGAACTGTAGTCAGCCGTGTGGGAGTCTAGCACCTTAACCACAATGCCACCACCTGCCAGCCCCAACCCCAGTGTGATTTTCAAGCCACCGGATCTGGGACTTAGACCATGGTTGACCATATAGAAGTCCAGCACCTTAACCACTATGCCCCTGCTGGCCCTAAAACTTATTTTTAAAGTTAGAAAAATTATTACTAAGAGAAAATATGTTTACAGTAGCATACTTATTTTCAATGTATTTATGGGAAAAAGCTGTGAATAAGTAAACCCATAAAATAGATCTTTGTTGTTCAAGGGTCAAATGTTTAGGGAACTTCAGATATTTAAAATAGCCAGATATTGTTTGGGTTGTTCAATGCTTGTTATGCATGAGTGGTAACATAGGGAGCTATTATCATTTAGTAGTTTGCTAGGAGCCGAGATGTTTATTACATATAATACATGTTATTTAATAAGTACAGTAATCTTCCTTAACCATTACAAGAGTTCTGAAATAATTTTTTTTTATAAGTTTTTGCCCTAGGGCATATGCACTTGCCAGAAAGTGACAGTGAGTGGGAACCTGAGAAGTCATCCCTGAGATGGATGGCCACACTACAATCCCTTCTCCATTTTCCCCCTGGGATTTTGGGCATACATGCACATGCACCTGGCATGATTTTCAAGCCGCTGGGTTTGGGACTTGACCCATGATCAGCCACGTGGAAGTCCAGTTCCTTAACTGCCATGCTATTTGCCAGCCCTGAATCTTTTACTTTTTATGTCTAAAAGCCATTTTTATTTTTTCAGGCTTAAAATTTGACTCAAAATATATGAATTTCAGAGTAAGAGCTTGTAACAAGGCTGTGGCTGGAGAGTATTCTGATCCAGTGACTCTGGAGACCAAAGGTAAGATCAGTAGCTGTTTACAGAACTTAATGCCAGAAGTTATTGAAGACTTTGGGACAGGAGGCATATGTGTGGTTGAATTTTTTTTTCCCCAACTACCTTTCTTTTCCCACCTGTGACTTTCCCAACAAACAGGAGTTATAAGACATGGAAAGTAGGGCTACAGTACTGGTTTTCATTAGTTTTTTTCTTTATGGTTATATTCATATGGATAAAATAAACTGAGATAATATTTTTATGGGTGCTTTGGTTTTTGGTTTATAAATTTTCATTTAGTATAAATATATAAACATTGCTGAGATTTGCCCAGAATTTTTCCAGAAAATGGATTATAATTCAGTAATGTAATAATACTTATTCAAGTTGGTTCAAATCTCCTCAGATTTTCTGAATCTAACTGCAGTAGATAACATTTATAGAGCTTGTTAATGTTTACAAAGTGGTCTCATTATTCTTTATTTGATCATAAAAATCATCTTGAGAGATCAGTAGAATAGTTACTGATACCTATATTGCAGATGAAGAAAGTGAAGTTCAGTGTGTTAAATGACTTGCCCATGATCTCTAGATCGGCTTGGAAAGAAAGATTTTAGCTGGAATCTGTTTCTAAGTTCTGTGCCAGTCTTTCTTGTGGCTCTGAAACCTAGGTTCTAGTCTTCAACAACAATTTAGATTTAGTTAAAACTCTTGAGAATATTATTGAACATATAAGGTTTTTTTTTGTTTTGTTTTGTTTTTTGTTTTTGTTTTTGTTTTTTTTACATATTTGGCCAGTTTGAAGGCCAGAATGCTAGAGATCTCTTCCTAGTTGTGAAATGATAATTAACTGAGTTTACTTCAGAATCTGACTCTGTGTATTGTTGTAGGTGCCTGGGACATAGGACTTTCCACTGACCTTCAGTTTACACAGTAGTTGAACAGGGTTACATGCCAGAAATTTGATATAAATTTGGAGGATAACATAAAAATACCGTATCAGAGTAAAGGAAAATAGGAACCCATAAGTTATTGATAAGACAAACTTAGAAAAATATGTTTGCATTGTAATGGTCTGAAAAAATTTAACTTGAAGTAATTTGTTTAGATTAGCAAACGTTTTAAATTTGAGAACTATAGATAACTTAGCTGGGGAATGCAATTACTTTTCTTTTTCATTAAAATTTTTTTTAATTTAACTTTACTTATTTGTTTATTTTAATTTGAACAGAGAGGGACAGAATGTGTGTGTGTGTGAGAGAGAGACAGAGAGACAGAGAGAAGGAAAGTGAAAAAGCAAGCCTCCAGGTCCAGGATTTGAACCGTGGTCAATCATGTCAGAGTCCAGCATACTTAACCACTGTACTACCTGCTGGCCTGACAATCACTTTTGATTATTATCAAACCGAGATGCTACTGTGGTTTCTTTAGAGATTTTTATCATTTTATAGTATAACTATATGAATAGTAGTATTTTTTCCTATATAACTTGAACTGATTTTTTCTTTTTTAAATTTAAATTTATTTATTTACATTCATTCACTATACACCATTACAACATACAAAATGAGATTTCCCATCCAGAATACACTGTATATTGGCTCAATCATGCACAACAACATACGTGTTATTGTCAACAAATAATTTTCCATTTCTTATTTCCTGTATATTTTACTTTACTTTTTTGCCATCCTTGGTTCCCTCTCACCCTCTGTAGTGTCCGGCCCTCCTTCCACACTGCCTCTGGTATCCATGGTTACTTTCTATGCCTTTTCCCCCCATTTTATTGATTCACAAGTGAACTTAATCTAAATACTTCCAATAGCAAGTGCAGCTGGTATATACATATCCATGAACACAAGTCTGACTTTAGGCATAAACCTCAGTGAGTAGAATGAACATACTATAAAGTAGCACCTAGCTGGGGCTATATAGCTTACTGTGGTCATCAAATACGCATTTTTTAAATTTTAATAAAAACAGTTTTTGTGGGTTTTTTTTCCACCTGAAACTTTTTTTTTAATTAATTAATTTACATTCATCTCCTAAGCATCGTCACAGCATACAAAATATGGTTTCCCATCCAGAATATACTGCATATAGTGGCTTAAACAGGCATGTAATCATCAATAATTTTCCACGTATAGTTTCATATATATGTGTGTGTGTGCGTGTGTGTGTATATATATATATATACTTACCCCTATGCCTGATGCTCTGCCCTTTCCCACCTTCTTCTCACACTATCTCTGGTGTCTACAGTTGTCTTCCATTCCCCCACACACACACACACACACACACATTTTATTGATCACACAGGTTCTTAAATAATGTAACTACTTTCAAT